ATATGTATATTTATATATATTATATATATATTTATATATATTATATATATTGAAGTTGATAGCATAGAAACCTTTACACTACTGAAGTTTATTTCAGAGATAGCTATAAGTTTCTCTGTATCAAGAGATATGAAATTGGAACATAGAGTAAGAATTAAAACATATTTAGATATTTTGCATTAAAAATGGTATGTTCTATCACTTTCAATCACTAGTTTGTAATACCAGATTAAATTGATTCCTTTCCCCTCTTTGACCGGTAGCTTTGGCTTCATGTACTCATATACTAGGCTTAAAAATTATCAGTTGAAATATACTATTACTCCTTCTGTTCTAGGAATAAGGATCTCTGTTTCAAGAAGAAAGAGGATAAAGTGTTTCAGGAGTATTTCCTGTTTCGTTTTGCTAGTTGGCAGTTTCACATTTCTGTATCTAGAAAAGCCTTTGTGTTTTAAACCTTGAATGATTTGTAAAGTTCATTTGGGAAAAAACCTGGAGCTGTAAAGAAACACCTGTTATTAAATTACACTTTATCACTGAGCTCACAGCTGACCCTCTGTAATTACTTGTGAAAGTCTGTACTTATAATAGAATAATTTACAATACATTTGGCTTAGGTACAATAATATAACCAAGCCTGAATACCACAAAATTCTGGGTCTGTACACTGTGCCTTTGTGGAGTTGATGTTGGTGGAGTTATTCTTGGTGCCGTAGAGGCCGGCCTTCCTTTGCTGCATCTTGAACCCCAGGACGTTGATGGGGATTCTGCCCTCGCTGCGCCCCAGCAGGACTGTGTGCTGCGCACGTGCATGAACCTGGTTCCTTGCTTTTTTCATCATCTCTCTCCCCCTTGAAGACAGAATAAAGAGAATGCTGAGCCCAGTTGGTTGGAATGCCTTGAATTTGTGGATTCCCGACACTGTTAGATTTTTCTCACTTCTGATCCATGTCCCGAACACCTAGATTGTGAGGCCTTCAGCCCCAAAAAACATGGGGAGTGCAGGTGTTTAGCACAAACCCTCACCACTTTTAGGAAATGACCACAAGGGTATGGGAGACTGGCATGGCCTGGTAGCTGGGGGAGAGGGTAGCACAATAAATGGAAAATGGCATTGCCCATGGACCTCACAGTTGCTGAACAAGCTGGCAGCCATGTAAGAGCCCACTGAGGCTTGTTCTACAGAACTTAGGAAAATAGGTACAAAAATGGAATTTTGTAGTTTGACCGATAGTCTTGTCATCTTGTGTCCAGTTGATTGGGACAGTCTCTCTGTTGCCACCTTGGGCAAAGTAGATCCTTGTAATGCAAATAGATTAGTCAGAACATCATTCCCTAACTCTTCTCACGAACCTGCTCTCTGGGCCGCTTTCTGCCGAGGGCTGTGGTGTGAGATCGGAGCCCAGTCCTGCCTGGCTCCATTCTGAAACTCCGACAGCCTTGGAATTGGGAATTTGGTTGAGAGACCAAATTCAGTATTTTCCCAAAGTGTTTCCAGTGTTTGAAAATTTACCTTTCTATAACACAAAGCTTTATTTATGTATCTATGGGGGCCACAAGGGGGAGGTCAGCCACAAAGCTCTTTTTTAGGTTCCTGTATTTATTTTGATAATAGTTGAGTTTTGCCCTTTGTAGCTGTGCTGATATACCCTTGATTTCTGTGAAGCATCAGTCATTTTTCTTGCTTTAAAAAATCTTAGTGTCTCCTATGTTTGTATGACAGTCATGTTACTTTTAGACTGTAGATAACAATTCATCATTTTAGCACTGAGAATTAAGCAGTAAGTACCTGTGCAGTGTCATACAACCACCGTACTATGCATCTCCAGTAATTTTTATCATCTTAAGCTGAAGCTTCACGTACGTCGGATTGTAGTAACAGTTGATCTCTCACTGACGACCATCCTCCTTTCTGTCTCTATGAATTCATCCATCCTTCGTATCTGTAGAAGTGAAATCATGCTGTTTGTCTTTTGTACCAGCGCATTTTCAAGGCTTATCCACGTTGTCTCATGTATCAAAATTTCATGGAAGCTGAATGACATTCCATTGTATGTATAGACATTTCATTTATCCATTCATAACCCGGCGGGCATTTGGGTTGCGTCCACATTTTAGCTATTATGAATGATGCTGCTAGAATATTGGTGTGTAGCACATGTCATATTTGATGCTTACAGAGCCGACTTGGCCAAGTTTGTCTTTTCCCTTGAACCTGCATCTTATTTCCCCCACAAGATAATACAGTGCACATATTAGGACACTGCCTGCTATTTTCCACTGTTTTTTTAAACTCTGTTTCGCTCAGAGTCTTGCATATTATAGAGGTATGAGTACTTGAAGTTGATAATAATGAAACAAGATAAAGAAATATGAAAAATGTTTTGAGATACGTAGTATTTTGAATATTATGTTATGTCCTTATATACATGCAGAAAGTACTTGAGTTGTTTTTCCCAAGCTCCTTTAACAGGGGCCAGAATCCACTTGTATGCTTATTTCCTTTCTTAGTTAACATACTATCACTTTCTGCTCATCTTCAATTGTGTGATAATAAGAGCAACAGGCATGATGTATGTATGGGCCTCGGGTGAGGAAGATTTCAGTAGGTCTGTCTGGGCTGGCGAGATAGCTCAGAAGCGTAAAGCACCTGCTTAGGCAAGCTTAGGCAAGCACAGGGTTTGATCCCGGAATCACATCATACTCCAGGCCCGCCCCCAGGGCCGGCTAAATGGGCCGGAGTCCAGGTGTAATGGTGCATGCCTGTAATCCAAGCACTGGGGAAGCTGAAAACAAGAGAATCACTATGGGTCCAAGCTGCATAGTGAGACCCTGCAACAACCAAATACGTTAAAAATAAATAGGTCTGTCTGATTAAACGTGAGCTTAGAGAAGTTTTTCTGCTGTTGCTTTTGTATTTGGATCAAGGATAAGGAGTTCAAATACTACAATAAGTGGGAGGTAAAAGCTGAATCTCCTATCCTAGGAAGTTGTAAGGGAAGATATGGGGAGTTTCTCTTACAGAAATAGACCTTTATCCCAGAGTGGTTATGAAAAGCAAAGACAGCTTTATATACGTGAACTGCAAATGAACCTCACGGCGGAAACCTTACCTTTTGTGTTGAAGAAAGAAGAGGATTAATTGAAGTGCAAATTTGGGAGAAGTATCAATTTGTGTCACACATGATGGAAAGTTACAGTGATGTAGTCGTACAATATCTTATAATACATTTCCTTAAGCTGAGCACAGATTTGTTGCTTTGGGAGGAACAAAAAGTTTTGCTTTGCGGTGATACGTAAGATACATGTTGGATTAGAACATTCCTAAATGAGCCTTTGTTTAAGGCTTTTAAAGTAAATAACAACACACACGAGGAGACGGTTTCTAGCCTTGCTTGGATGAAACGTTGCTGGCTGGCTCTCCGACATAATCAGGTGTTCACAGAGAGAGTGACAATGGCACCATTCAGGCAGGGCAGTAGAGCACACAGGCTAACCGATTGTTCATAACCTGACAACTGGCTGGGGCATTAAGAATGCACGGACTGAGGTGTCATAACTCATACTTTCTTTAAAAGAAAGGACAAAAATCTTTTCCCATACAGCCTGTAGTAGTGATATGCTCTCTTAGAAAGATCTGTTAGAATTCACCTCTCCAAAGCAAACCACTCTCATCCACTCCTTTCTGCCTGCTTAGCATTGCACGATAGACTTTTCAGGGGTACTCTTTTAGGTCAAAATGTGAAATTTAAAACTGGTTTGTTGCACAGTAATTCTCAGCTTTATTTTGGGAGCTTTTTCTTCTTTTAATATAATTCATGAAGCAATCCTAAGGCCTTTCCGTGAACCTTGCCAGTGGATCACGCAATCATGCCTGCGTCTTCCCTTCGTGGCCCTGAGCTGTGGATACCTCACTTCACTGACAGACAGTACTTTCTGGGTCATCACACAAACCCTGTCCACCTTCCCCCTCAGCAGCGCCTGACCTGCCATCCACAATTCACAGCTGATTTTGCTTGTCCTCTAGTGCCAGCCTCAGGCAACTGAGTCTTCCAGGCCCCAGTGGCTTTTAAAGAAAGATTTCAACTGGCTTTCACTCTGGCAGTTACATTACGTAGACATTGTCCGTAACAACCTGAGGAAACATACCACCTGGCTTATGACATGTATTTAACCCAGAATTACCATTGGGAAAAGCGCCTTTCAAGTACTAAAATCTCCTGTGGCTATGTGGGTTATACTCCAGCTGATGATGGTTTTCCTTTTCTTTTTAGTAAAAGGCGAAAGATTTATACGATCTGAAGAGAAACCAGAGTATCCTTTTCTTTTTTAAATGTATTTGGTACAGGGTCTCCCAATGGAGCCGGACTCATAGTGTTCCTCCTGTTTTCAGCCTCTCCAGCGCTGGGATTATAGACATGTGCCACCATGCCTGGACTCGGTAGCCCACTCTGCACGCTTCAGGGGGTAGGGCCGGCACAACACGTGGTGCTGGGGATCGAGCCTGGGTCCCTGCCTTTGCCTAAGCAGGTGCTTAGTCTGCTGAGCTATCTCGCTGGCCCTTGATGATGGTTTTTCTACAAGAGGATGCTTCATCTATAGAAGGGAAGCAGATAAACAAGCCAGAGGTCATTTGCCCATTTTTCCTTGGGGGTCCTTGCAGGGGTGCCCTGGGTTGGTGCTGTGGGGTGACTATTGCCGCTATCACAGCCCAGTCTTCTATGGCCGTGCATTTGTAGCCGTTCTGTTCTGAGGGCAAGCATCCTGCTTGTAGCATTCTGAGAAACCACTCTGATTTCTAAGAGCTTAATTCACAGGATTTTTTTTTCCGTTTGCCAATGACCTATTGTGGATTTCTGTTTTCTAGGCTGGCAGCATGGGATCACCCACTGACACGCATTTCCTCTCCCAGGAAGCTGTGTCCAGTTTTCTCCTGAGCACATCTGTTGCTCTTTATGCGCACCAAGAATGGATTAACCCAGCTGTCCTTTCATTTTCAGATTTAACTGAAGAACGCCTTGGGGATGGCAGCTCTGCAGACAACACAGAGGTTTTCAGTGACAAAGATGCTGACCAGAGGAGCTCCCCAGACGTGGCCAAAAGTAAGGGTTGCTTCCCTCCTGAAAGTCCTGAAATAGTGTCTGTGGATGAAGGTGGCTATGCTGCCCAGAAAAATGGAGGCAACCCTGAGAGCCGCCCAGAGAGCCCCAAGTACCACACGGAACAGAACCACCTCCTGATCGAGGGCCCATCTGGAACCGTCTCTCTGCCCTTCAGCTTGAAAGCCAATAGGCCACCTCTTGAAGTGTTAAAAAAAATCTTCCCCAACCAGAAGCCCACGGTGCTCGAGCTCATCCTGAAGGGCTGTGGGGGGGACCTGGTGAGTGCCGTCGAGGTCCTCCTGTCCAGCCGGTCCTCGGTGAGCGGAGCCGAGCGAACTTCTGCAGAAGCCGAGAGCCTCGTGCTGCCCTCCAACGGGCACATCTTTGAACACACCTTGAGCTCCTACCCCATCTCCTCATCCAAGTGGTCTGTGGGCTCAGCCTTCCGAGTCCCAGACACGTTGAGGTTTTCCGCAGACTCGAGTAATGTTGTCCCCAACCCCTTGGCTGTGCCTCTGCAGCACCCTTTCCCCCAGCCGCCCCGGTATCCACTAATGCTGAGGAATACGTTGGCGAGAAACCAGTCCAGCCCCTTTTTGCCCAATGACGTCACCCTGTGGAACACCATGACCTTGCAGCAGCAGTACCAGCTGAGATCCCAGTATGTCAGTCCCTTCCCTGGTAACTCCACCAGTGTCTTCAGAAGCTCACCTGTCCTCCCTGCCCGAGCCACAGAGGACCCGCGGATCTCCATCCCGGAGGATGGGTGTCCAATTGTGACAAAGCAGTCCCTTTACACAGAGGAGGACTATGATGAGCGGTCCGACTCCTCAGACTCTAGAATCCTCAACACATCGTCCTAAAGTGGGACTGGATGGGCAGTGACCCCTGGGGTAGCCCAGGAGAGGCCACATCTAGTGTACCCCTTTCCTTCTGTGACTCTGCTTGATATTCTATACATTAGCAATAAAACATAACTTATTTAATTTCTTGCACTTCACTGGAAAATGCCAAATAGCTCTGCTCTGTGGCTTTAGTGCTGAATGTTTATTGTAAAAGAGAGTCTAATGCTAAGAGTAGTCTTGGGGAGGCTGGTCCATGGGAGATTTCTTTGGGGATGCAAAGCTGAAGGTCAGCCTTGATCCAAAACTCAACCTGGGATGTTAAGTAAAACAGTATACTTGAATGCAATTTTGTAAAAGGGGATTCCTCAGGATATGTGAGGCCTAAAGGAAGTGGCTTGGTGGCAAATGGACTGTAAACAGGGACATTATATTTGTACACTAAAAAAAGTCCTTCTTGCATTTTAAAGAGAGCCTGCACTTCAGAACTTCCGAATCTAGTGAACTGCTCAGGCTTGGACAGTTTTCAGAGACAAACTCCATTAAGAATTCTTCTTTTCTCATGGCTGAATTGAAACATGTGCGATGTCAATGTAAAACCCATCACAGCTGTGAACTGCATGAACTGTATTGTGAAATGAACACAAGATTACGCTTGTCAGGTTAATGTAGCATGCTAAGGACTCTAGAAAAAATAAACTAAGGAGATGATCTTGGTTTATGTCATTTCTGCTTGTAGAAAGAGACTTTAAAAATAGAAACTTGGTGTAAAAACTGCTTACTAATCCAGGAGTCAGGAAAAAAGGCAACAGTTAAATGAGACATTTCTTGAGTATGAATGGCACAGTTTTAGAGCTGCAGTCAGAAAACGGAAAACTACTCATCATAGAGTTAATTAATTTCACTCCTTCATCCATTTGTTTCTTCAACAGGTATGTACAGAGTGCCTGCTGGGTATAAGAGTGTGCTCTTGTATTCTTGCTCACGTTACCTATGAGTCCAAGAGAGGTGGAGACTGCAGTGGAGAAGCCCAGGAAAAAGAGTAAAAAATGAAAAACTACAATACATAGTTGAGTGCGGGCTGGAAGTAATATGCTTAGCTCAGAGCTTGACGTGGAAAGTACTCAATACCCGAAAGCTATTGCTTCGGCAACTTTGAATTCCATGTAATACAGATGGGGATTTCCTCTTTCTCACTTGGAGAAGATGCCATTCTCCTTTCAGGTAGAATATTGAGGGCTTTCCCTCTTTTTTGTCAAAGTCCCTTGCGGGCACCAAATGTGGTGATCTTCTCCTTCGTTTCTTTCTAGAACTTCCAAGCAGTGATGTCCAGCGGCGCCCGCACCAACCCCTTCTCTGACTCCCTGTTTCCATTCCTCCAGAGTGCTTGAAAGATACGATGACTGCTTAGGGGAGACAAGCAGTTAGGAAGGTGGGAGGGAAAGGGAATAAGCAAATGAGGAGAAGCCCAGCCAGGACCAGGGTGCAGAGGGAGCTCCCAGTGGCAGAATAAATCTTGACGGGCTCTTAACATGCACTCAGTCTGAGAAGCACCCAGCCCAGGACCGGTCCTGGGACAAAGAGGGTCTTATACAAGACAACCCAACATTTCTGCTTGTTTACATGGGCGTTTCTGGAGAAATTTCTGAGGGGGGCCATTCCTGACATTAATCAAACTGATATGTATTTTATCAGCATACTTTTATCCCAAGAATGTTTAAAAGTAAATAGCTTTTTGTTGCTGAGGTTCTATGCAGACTTGAATGTTCACATGAGAAAGAAATGAGAGAATAATGTTCCCCTGATTTAAAGACACACATTCAGGATATTTTATGTGGCCTCAATGCGCTAATATGTGGGCCTACCTAGACAAATGTATTTGGAAAGGTATTTTCAACTCCAAACTTTTTCCCCATTCATTCAACAAACAACAATGATAAACTACCATGTGACTCTTGCTTCTACAAAGTCTGCTTCTAGATATTACTTCTCCAGGATGAATGACCCAGATGGACACAGCTTGGCTGAAGGATGTTCTTATACCTGAATTTCACCTTCAGACCATCATCAGCACTGACTTCTTTATGGCAGCCAGAGAAATGGGATTATCTGAAAACCAGCTAATTCATGGGCTAGTGCAAGTATGCTTGATCCTCAACATAATCTTCGGAAGAAAGAAATGTTGCTTTGGATAAGGGAGTTCAGGGGTCAGAGGTGAGCACTGGGGCCCCTGAGTACCTGTCAGTTTCTGAACACTGACTTAGCATAAACTTTGCCTTTCACGGCAAACTCCATAGCTGTTTTGTCTCAAGGTTGGGAGAAAAAGCATCTTGAGCCACCTGAGAGAATACAGGATGCTCCAGAAGAGGACAGGTCCCATGTTCCATGCTCTGCCTTCGGTTTTGCTTCTTTGCAGTCCTGATAATAGAAACCCTCTTAGAAAAGTGACAAAACCTCTTAACTCAAACTCAGCTCTCAAAGACCAGCCTGGTCCAGCACATAGATGTCAAGTGCACAGGCATATTCATCTGCCCAGGGCACGCAGTTACTCTTTGGCATGAAACTGAGTATCTGCAGCCACACAGAACAAAGTCACCCAGCTTGAAGTTCAGTTCTGTCTGAAACACACGATATCTGCACGTTTGGCTGAATACTTTCAGTTTTCCTCAGGTGATGAAAACTGTGAGTCAGTCCTGTCTGACGGAAAGTTAGTTCACATTAAAGTGCAGTGTATGTGTCTTCCCTGTGAGGCTCCTCCAGCTCCTAGTCTTTGTGTGAAGGTTTCTATTTTTCATCTGAGGTGTTGTGAGTGTGGGGTGGGTCAGTCAGGTTCTAGATTGTTCTGTCTCAACATAGCTCAGGCATCCAGATGCTGAACTTGTAGTGTGGATGCCTGGCTCCCCTTGTTCAGTTCAAATCCATGCAGCATATTTTTATCATCCTTTCAGGTAATTTGCAAACTCACTGAGATTAGAGAATGATTTTCTTTCTCGTTATGGCCTTGGTTTTTGTCTCAGTTCTACACCAGGTAGAAGAATTGAGGGCTATAAAGTCTCATGCTGAGATTTCGGAATTGTGCCCCATGTTCTCCTTTTCTTTGGCTAAGTGTTTCCATGTTGTAAGCACTCTTAGCAATACCCTAGATCTACTTCAAATAGCTTTAACATTAGTGTCTACTACTAGGTTGAATACATGTTTGGGGTCAGAAATGCTGGTTTCTAGAAACTTCTCGTTGGAAGGAAGCAGACAGCCACACAAATGTGCTGCTCTTTCCCCAAGAAGAAAGCTAGATTTTTTAGGTGCTATGAACCCTTTAAGTTTCATTATTCTCTGTTAACTAGTAACTCTGGAAAGAAATTTTGCCCTGCAGCTTTGAGTTTTAAGAAATGTCAACACTCTTGATGGGGGAGGCGGTGGTGGTTAGTTTCATAAATGAATTGAGAGCCAAGGTTGTATGTGAGGTAAGTGACTTGGTTGAAATTACTAACAAGGCAATGCAGGGGCAGGTGACAGAAATAGGGTAGTGATCCAAGTGGACAATCATCAGGCTTCTAAGAGCCAGAGAAATAGATCTAGAGAAGGGGAGAGAGGTATAGCAGTCAGGTATACAGGGTGTGCTCTCTAAGGACGCCTCTTCCAAGGCTCCCAGTTTGTCCATGGGTGGATTGGGCCGCAGGTGATGGGAGGGGGGCATCTTGGGAACATTTGTTGGGTGGCCAGAAAACAGGCCTTGGCAGCATTTGAACTGACATATTTGAAAAACGAACTTGATTTCACTGTGTACTGTTTCAATGATTCATTCTTTATATGTGCATTTACTCAGCAGAAGTGAGTTGAAAATAAGATGGATGCTGAATTTATATGTTAATTTTAATATTGAAGCTATCCTATATTTGAAGAATAAGACCAATGCTTCAATTTCATTTCTTATGTGGTACTGAATGTTGTCATTACTGGGGGGAAAAATCATTCCCGAATGCATCCTCCCCAAATTCCAATCTCAGAGGACAGCGGGGTCCCTGAAGGGGCAAGCTTGCCTTTTGCTGATGCTCTACTCAGGATGTGCTTCAGCGTTCCCACAGTATCACTTACTACTTCAGTGTCAAGGGTAAATAGTGGTTTTTCCTTTAATTACAATGGAGTTTATTTACTAATTGGATTCTGAGAGTTTGCTGGGATTGTTGGCTTATGTCAACAGTGTCATATATCCCACAGGCAAAGCCGCTGGACTTAACCAAAGGTAAACTGAGCATTTGCTGGGAAAAATTGTCCCTCCAGAAGGCCCCAGTCACTACCTGGTGGTTTGGGACCATGACCTCACACTATACCATGACCTCACACTTACATTGGGCTGCAGATGAAAGAGTCCAAAGGTCGGTGGAAAATTCTCTGGAGGAAAATTTCCTGTTTCCCAGCTGGATGAACAATGACTGTTAAGGAGAGGAGCAGGAGAGTTGGGCCTGAGACCTTCCTCAGTTCCCAGGGCTGCTACAGAGATAGCGATGGCTCGCCTTCTCAGGAGTTGCTGTCTCTCCAGGCAGCCCCTCGCCTCCCTCCCTGGCCTCTGCCTTCATGGGTGCTGGGTGCCCTAGGCTGCTGTAGTGGCTGGATTCTGTGTACCGCACCAAGGGATCCAGCCAATTGGGGCAGAGGAGGGCTCAGGTCCCTAGTGGTTCCCCTTTGTAAATTTGTCAGACTCCAAAAGGTGCCGTTTGGGGAGCAGACTTTCTGCTCCGCACAGAGGAACATCAAGATGTAGCAGAGCTCCTAGGGAAACATAGGAGGGACAAGATATGCGTAAGAAGAGAACAACTTGAGCATTAAAAATAGTTATGGAAACCACAGATAAGTGTGACCCGCTCTCCATTGGCCTGTCCCCTTTGAGAAGGAAGGAAGTGGTTTTGTTAGTTTCCAAAACCATCCATGGGGTTAATGTGAGAATTGCAAGGAAATGCTGGAAAAAGAGGTAGAGAGTTAACCTTCGTTGAGCACCTGCTGTTTGTACCTGTTAGGTTAGCGTTTTCTCCTCTGTGATGTGCTGGAGATGGAATCCTGGGCTGTGAGAGACTAGGCAAGGGTGCCACCCGTGAAGGACAGCTCGGCCCCTATCAGCCTTCCATGGGACCTCAGGTTGCCGCTGATTGTCCCAGCTCCAGGACAGCTCAGGCTCCCAGCAGCCGAGGGAAGATACCATTTGGGGCTGCCAGTTAGGGTTAGACAGCAGCCTGTGGAAAACAAAGCAGGTAGTGGAAGGAACATGCTTGTAGCAGCCTCTGACTTCTGCTGCTTCCTGTCTCTCGGGGCGGCCTGCGCCTCGCCTAACCTCCTGTCTCACACAGTAAGGCCTGTGAGTCCCTGCGGCTTCGCATCTTCAAGAAATACCGTCTAGTGTTGAAAACACTGTATTTACAGTTTTGAAAATTGGAAACATGCTTCGTAGCATTGTTTATTCCCACAGAGGAAATGTTACTAATTCAACACCAATTTATTCAAATTAGCAACTCAAAGCCCTTTTTAGATTTTTTTGGTCTTTTCTAAACAGGGTCTAGGGGCCAGGGAGATGGCTCAGTGGAATAAGTGCTTACCTGGCAAGCACAAGGCCCTGAGTTCAATCCCGGGTTCCACAAAATAAATAAATAAATAAAAATAAACAGGGTCTCACTGTGCACTTCAGCCTGGCCTTGAGCTTACTTTGTAGCCCAGGCTGATCTTGAACTCACAACAATCCTCCTGCTGGGATTACAGGCGTGTGCCACCACACTCAGCCTTTAAATATTATTTTGATAGGTCCAATGATCTAAATCTAACCTAAATGAAAATTCATTTACTAAAAACAAGTCTATCCAGAATTTTGTTTTGCAAAACATGGATTGAAGTTAGATGACACAAAAGCAAGCATTTAGAAGGTTCCTTTTCGGTGCCAGCCATCGTTCTAAATGACTTGGGTCTATTATCTCATTTAATCTCAGTGACCTCGTGAGGCTGGTAGATTACAATATCTATTTGGCAGATGAGAAAACAGCGCTGAGCCTAAAATCCACCCCTTGGATGTGGTTGATGTGGGCTTCGGTCTCACATGTGGATCCAGTCTTTGGCTTAGCGATCTCAGGTGTTTTTGGAACTTCTGGGTCTGCCTCCCATCTCACACTTTCGGCTGGGCCTGAGCACGGCCTCCAGCAGAGTCGGCACCGGAAGCGTGGCCGCGGGAGGTGGTGCGAGGGGTGTGGCTGCAGTGGCACCTCGGGCTGCAGGCAGCGGAGCACCGCAGCATAGGCCGCAGCCAGATTCACGAATTTTCCCGGCTCTGCTGCCCCCTGGAGGTGGATGGAGGTACAGGCATGACACCAGCGACTGCTCCCCTCCAGGGTCCTGTGGGGCCTTCCAGGCCCGAGCCGGGCTGGGCCGGTTTCGGTGGCCTCTGCAGCAGTCCGCCTTCCTCTCCACGGTCCCCGCCGTGCGGTCGGCGTGGCCGCGCCCCCGGCCTGCAGAGAACAACCTGACAGCTGACGGCCCCTATGAACTCACCGATTCTCCAGTGCTGCCGGGAGGAGGAGCAATTTTGAGCTCCTGCTGTATTCTACTTGCTAGGCAAACGCTAGGAAGCCGACGACCGATTCTCAAAGTGTTGGCGATGGCCTGCGGGGCGGAAGCCCCGAGGGGCCACAGTAACGGAGGCCCCGGACGATGCTAACGATGCTAGCCTCCCGGGTCAGGGCCTCTCGGGGGTCCTCTTTCCAGGAATGAGCGCCCTACAGAGAACCCCTGTCTGCAGATAAGCTTTAGGAAACCCAACCTAGCCCCCCCCCCCCCAAAGGGAGGGAAAGAAAAATCCAGCATCCAGAGAATATGTGGCCCGGATGAGTTACCAGCCCTGGCGAGGAGGATTCTCTTGGGGCAAAGCACTTGGGAATTTGTGGGGTCACAGCAGAGTCCCTGGGGAGGGGAGGTGCACACCAGGGCTCGGGAGCAACGCTTTGACTTGAGCAGTTTTCAGGAAATCTCTTAAGGGCTTGGAGTAAGAGGACAGTGATTTACCTTGCAGGCTTGGGAATCAGTTTGATCCATTAGAAGAAAGGATACTCAAGGAGAAAACTGCTTGATTTTTTAAAAGTTGCAGTGGTTTGAAATATCAGAGGAGGATCCAGTCGTTCCAAGTGGGTCGTAGACTGCACATAGAAAAACTCTAGAAGAAATGGTTCTTCTTGGCTAGCTGTTGTTTCTTTAGTGCATTTGATAAAGTTGTGACTTCAAATTATAGTTCATGCCTGGAAGGCGGGGAGAAGAGAGGTGGGAAGGAGGCAGTGAAGACAAAGTGCTCCATAGGTTGGTCCTTCAGCTCCAGCGTGGCCGCCTTGGGAGTGGGTTGAGGGCAGATCTTGGCTCGCAGCTCTACCTCCAGTGAGGGAATGTGGGGAGGACCGGATGAGAGAGTGGAGGCTCTGATTTCTAAGCTGGGCTCCATCTTCCAGGTTAGCTGAGGTTCAGCAGAGCTGTGTTCTTATCCGCAGACTCTTATACCTGGAGAAAGGCCTTGTGGCTGTGGCCTTACTAGCTGAAGGAAACAGCAAATGAGGCTGCACGCAACCTGGCTGCAGGCCCGAGCCAACCCTCAGGTGTATTCTGTGTGACCAGTACAGTTTGTTTTCATTTTCAAATGATTGCCCACACCTACAAATCCGGAAATCTCATATTGGCATTTTTCTAGGTTTTCTGGGAAAAGTAGAAGACCTGGAAATATTGCGTGGAAGCAAGTCAGTTGGCACCTGCTTGCTCCCCCCATCGGTGCCTGGTTCCTGTGTCTGCATTTGGGACAGAGAGAGCGAGGTGCTGGACTTCCTGATCTTTGCCTGACACGATGGGGCTTTGGTGCTGGTGTCCCACAGTGACTGTTGACCCTTGCCAGGTTGATCTAAGCTGCGCCGCAGGCTTTCACCCCTGACCTTCACCCTTGTCCTGGTGGTATGCGCCTCACCAGGGCTGAGGTGAGATCTGGGCCCACTCCCTAACCCCTCCCTTGGTGTCTCTATTTTCAACTTTAAAATGAGAGCTCAACTATCTGTATTTCCCAGCATTTTTCGCTTCTGAACATTTCATTCTGTCACCCTCTGCGGATCCGGTGTTTGTCTATCCGAGAAAACACCAAGTAGTACAGAAAATCTGGGGGTGCTGAAGGCTAAGTGGTGGCACCAAACACATGGATCAGAAGGAAAGCATTTGAGCATTTCACCTTCATGAAAATTTATTTATTTATTCATTTATAAGTACTGGGGATTGAACTCAGGACCTTGCACTTTCCAGTTAGGCACTTATACCACTAAGCTATCTGCCTGGCCATGAAAATATTTTTAGCTCCCTCATCCATTTCCACCTTTATAGCCACTAAGGGTTGGGGCCATGCCAGGCTGGTCTGGGCAGTGCTTGGGTAATAAATTTCAGTATTTCAGTGGCTTTACCCACAGAAAATCTTAATATCATAGAAAGTCTTCCCTGGGGTAGGCAGCTGTCTAGGTAG